AAAAACCCAACAAAAAACCCTCCAAACAAAGAAAACTTATTTCCTGGACTGTTTCCCTCAGTACTTTCTGGGAATATTGAAGTTCTTCGTGGTGTGTATCGGTGGCCTGGCCCTAGGAGTGCTGTCCGGGCTTCTCACGGCTGTGATGACCAAGTACTCCACTCATGTCAAAGGTGAGGTGGTGCAGCAGCAGATGTGGAAACCTGGATGGGTGGCGGGTGCTCTTGTGTGGTTTGCTTCTTCTTTCCTATCAAACATCTGTCGTATTTATCTCCCTTGTGACACCTCTAATCTTTGGCACTTATTATATGACCTTATTGTGTTGCAAGTGCCGTAAATCTCTTACGCAAAAATGTCTTCCTTATAAATCTCTCGTCCTTTTTTTAGTATGTTACTCTCTAGTAGTGGCAACACCTCTAAACTACAGCACTTTTAAATGTGACCTGTTTATGTTGCAAGTGCCGTAAAATTATAACTAAACCTTTAAAACATTTGGAAAAGATGATAGAATGAAAATTTAAAAAAAAAGTGTTATGGCTTTTGCGACAGAAGTAGTGAGAGGAAGGGAGTGTCTTGTCTTCTTGCACTGTTGTGATGTACTGAATGACTTGCATAGTAAGCATTCTCAATAGGTCAGTCGTTCACAGCTGTATTTCCTTTCTTTCTATCTTCCTGACAACCAATGCTATTGGAGAATTTTCAATTGTAAAGAAATGAAGAAATATGATAACAACAATTTTAAATTTAATAACATATTTCTTTCGTGCTTCTTAATCATCAATGGAATATGAGTTTTTCAGAAGTATTTTCAGAAGGGTAGTTTTGTTTTGTGTTTCTCACTGTTACTTTTGCAATGTGTTAAGTAAGTCACTCCATATCAGATGATATTGACTGCTTAGTGTAAAGTTTCTCTACCCGCTATTTAAAAAAGTGATGTATAATGGAGTCTTTTTTTTTTTTTGATTGTTTTACGTGCTCACAGCTGCATAAGGTCATATGAGCGTGTGAAACACTCCAAACATTTTCGGTTGGGAGGAAATTTTGAAGTTTTGAATTTTGCCCGGGTGGCGGCTGAAACCTACTCTTATCGATTTTAGACCACCAAGGGTTCTTAAACGTGCGCAACTTGCACACGGGACCTCTAAGATTTTTCGCCCTTATTCGAGAAGGCTAGGGTTGTAGATCTCATCTACCATAAGACCAGGGGTGTGGTTGAAGGACAACAGTGAGAAGGAGCCAAAGAGTTGCAATAGAAAGGCTGTTCAAAGTCAGGAGCCCAGAGGAGGGGGCGAAGTAGGTGAAGGGGTGGGGGCAGAAAGTAGAGAAGAAAGCAGATGACAGAACATTGTTAGAGAGCAGGAAAGGAGATGAAAGGAGACAATTTTAAAGTAGAAAATTTCCTGTTGCTATCCGAATTCAAACCGGGGACCTATTGAATGAGAGGCGAACACTGTAATCTCTCGACCACGAGAGCCCCCCTAATGATGGAGATTTACACTAAGCAGTCAATATGAGTTTGGTGTTTGATGCAATGTTTGGCTATGTTGTACTTCACTTTAAATGTGCTGTCTGTATAACTGTTTTGTTCAATGTGTGGTTTTTGCAGTGGCTCAACCCATCATTGTCTTCACTATGGTATATTTTGGATTTTTGATGGCTGAGCTGTTTGGATTTTCAGGAATTATTAGGTACGTCTCCCTCCCTCCCCCCCTTTGTGTCATTTTAGACTTGTGGGGTTCAGATATGTATGAAGAAGAGGTAAAAATCCCTTCTTCTGCAATACTTTCATTGTCAGTCTCATTTTTTGTATGGTCAGTATAATTAAGTCATGATGACTGTTTTAATTTTATTAGATTGACCCAGAGAAGGACTTAAGATAAAGGGGTTTTCATGGGGATGCATCTTTATGTTCAAAAGGGAATTCTTGATGGATGAGGATATAGAGTATTTTACGTTATATTATGGATGCTTTAGAAAAATGATCACCAAGAAGGCAGTAAATTTTACTTTTTTAAAATGATGTTAAATGTATATTTTCTTCCAGTGTGAGTGTTTTTAGCCAACTGCTTTCTTCATAATTCAGAGTATTCAGTGTATTTGGTTATTTGGAGTGGGTGGTTGGCGGGTGCTGTGGTGTGGTTTGCTCCTTCTTTCCTATCAAACGTCTATCGTCCTTATCTCCCCCTTCTTTTTTTAAATGTTTGTTACTCTCTTGTAACGCCTTTAAACTTCTGGCGCTCATATGACCTTATGCTGTTGCGAGTGCCGTAAAGCCTCTACTAAAACTAAAAAAAGGTTATTTGGCTACTATCTGACCAATACTAGATGAAAAGAACTGGAACTTTTAGGGTTGTATCTTTAATCAGTTCTCATAGTTTTCATTATTGGTGTTGTGCACTATGGATAATTACTGTAAAAGAATTTATAGTGCAAGAAAAATATTGTTTGAAGTTATGTCTGTTTTTGTTTGGTTATTTTCAATTGAATTGTATTTTTTTTTTTTAATTGTAAAAGTGTAAACATCCATTTTTAATGTGATGTTCTTTCTAAAGATATGTGCCTTTTGGTGTTTTCTACAGTATTAAAGGTGATATTCTTCGTAAAAAAGTATGCCTTTAAGTAAAACCACTGCTGTATTTCAGTGCTAAAATGTATTTATTTCTCTTGTGTTTTCTGCAGTATTTAGGTGATATTCTTTGTAGAAATGGTCGCTTTAAAGGACAAGCGGGCTAACCCTGATTTCAGGGGTTTCCAGAAATCTTGACCAACACCAAAAGTGGGCATTGCCCTACCTATAGGAGAAGTTTGGTTTCATTCGTGTGTATATTTGTTTGGTTATAGAGAAAACTCTCCTTGTCTTTTAAAGAAACTGAACAAAGGGCACAAATTTTACCTTCGATTTTTTTCAAAACCGCATTTTTCGGGATAGCCCCCTTGTGCTTAAAAGCGACCAAATATCCCTTTGAGTAAAATCACTAGTGGGCTGGAGGCCTCCCTGTTGTCTGAATTGTCCACCTTTAATGCACATTATTTCAGTACTATATAATGTACCTTTTATCTTTGTGTTTTCTGCAGTATCATTGGCTGTGGGCTAACACAGGTGCACTATGCCTTTGCCAATATCAGCTCCAAGTCTCGCACCACCATAAAGTATTTCACGAAAGTGATCAGGTAATTAAAAGTTTAATGGGTAATTTTTATGTCATTACTGTGATGCACTTTGTTTTGTTTTCATGAGTAATTGTTTACCTGAATCATGCATTGTGTTTTTTAAAGAAATTGTTCTGTCATTAATTTGCCATTTTTTTGGGTGGCTGGCGGGTGCTCTGGTGTGGTTTGCTCCTTCTTTCCTATCAAACATCTATCATCCTTATCTCTCCCCCTTCTTTTTTGTGTGTGTTACTCTCTCGTAGCACATCTATTCTTCGGTAGTTATATTACCATATTGGGCTGCAAGTGCTGTAAAGCTCTTACTAAAACTAAAGTTGCTACTTTGTTTTACTTTCCTATGTAGGTGTTTGCGTTAATCCTGTGACCGAAACTGAGTCGTGGGTGGTTGGCGGGTGCTCTGGTGTGGTTTGCTTTTTCTTTCCTATCAAACATCTATCATCTTTATCTCTCCTCTTTCTTTTTTTTGTGTTTGCTACTCTCTTGTAACACCTCTAATCTTCGGCACTTATATGACCTTATTGTGTTGAAAGTGCTGTGACAATCTCACTAAAACTAAAGTTGCTACTTTGTTTTGTTTTTCTTTGTAGGTCTTTGCGTTAATCCCGTGACCAAAACTGAGTCGATAGTGCCGTAATATGCCTACTCAAACAAACAAACAGCGTTATTCCTGTTTTGGGTTCTCTGTGCATTCCTCTTCTTTTATTTTTTTTTCTCCTTCCCCTCTGACTAACAGTACCAGTGGGTGGTCGATGTGTGCTTTCCTGTGTGGTTTGCTTACTCTACTTCTTTTTAGCGTTGCTGTTGTCCTTGTTTGTTCCTTGCAAATAAATGTGGCCATTGATGAGAAGGCTTCATGTGTAAACCATGCCTTGACAACATTATTTCCTCAAATTCACCCCACCCCACTCCTCCTCTGCTCAACTCTATCCTACCCTCTATCTTCCTTACCTCTTAGTGGGTGGTTGGCGGGTGCTCTGGTGTGGTTTGCTCCTTCTTTCCTCTGAACAGCTATCGTCCTTATCTCTCCTCCTTCTTTTTTACGTTTGTTGTTACTCTCTTGTAACACCTCTAATCTTCGGCACTTATATGACCTTATTGTGTTGCAAGTGCCGTAAAACTCTTTACTAAAAGTAAAAAAGTTACCTCTTAGGGTGCACTGGAAGGTCCCTAGTTCTTTTCTTTTCCCCTCTTGTTTCTGTCTCCTCTGTTTTTTTTTTCCCCCTGTTGTTTCTGTCTCCTCTGTTTTTTTTCTTTTCCCCTGTTGTTTCTGTCTCCTCTGTTTTTTTTCTTTTCCCCAGTTGTTTCTGTCTCCTCTGTTTTTTTTCTTTCCCCTGCGCTAAATGATGGTTAATGTGTCATTGTGCTTCTTTTTACTCATCTAAACAAATCTCTCCCATTTTTTTGTGAGTGGGTGGTTGGCAGGTGCTCTGGCATAGTTTTCCTCTTTTTTTGCTTATCAAACATCTATCGTCTTTATCTCTTCTCCATTTCTTTATTTGTTACTGCCTAGTAACACCTCGTATCTTCAGCACTTTTATGACCTAATTTGTTATGCAAGTCCTGTAAAACTCTCACTTAAACCAACTTCTTTCCTATCTAACATCTGTCATCCTTATCTTTCCTCCTTTAATGTATATGTTACTGTCCAGTTACACCTCTATTCTTCAGTACTTATATGACCTATTTATGTTGCAAGTGCTGTAAAACTCTTACTAAAACTTTCCTATCAAATATCTATCGCCCATATCTCTTTGCCTTCTTTAATTTGTATGTTACTGTCAAATAACACTTATTTTCATACCCCCTGGGGCAGTGCCACTGACTGAAGTGTCTTTAGGCCATTCCCAAAGGGGGGACATTTCTCGTTCAAACATAGTAGAATTGTAAATGGGCTGACTCATGTCACGCTCATAACTGTGCCTGATCTACAACAGGGAACTGCTGCTTTTTCTTTCCTGATCCTTACTATTGTCATTCTCTACTTCTTTTGTATGTTTGTCACACTCTTGTGACCTGCTATTTTGGGGTGCCTTGATAGTCGAAGCAGACCTTGTGCTGTTGAAGCTAGAGAGGTGAGCAGTCTAAGTCTGATTCCCTGTAAAGACTTCTCTGTTGACACCCACCCCTTGGCGCCCATATGACCTTATGCAGTTGCGAGTGCCGTAAAACCCTCTACTATAAAAAAAATAAATCCATTACCCATATCTCTCCTCCTTTTATTTATATGTTTCTGTGTAGTTACACCTCTAATCTTCGGCACTTTTATGACTTATTTGTGTTGCAAGTGCCGTAAAACTCTTACTGTGGATATTTGGCGGGTACTCTGGTGTGGTTTGCTTCTTCCTGCCTATCAAATGTCTATAGTCTTTATCTCCCCCCCCCCCTTCTTTTTTGTGTTTGTTACTCTCTTGTAACACCTGTAATCTTCGGCACTTATATGACCCTTTTGTGTTGCGAGTGCGGTAAAACACTTACTAAAACTAGAAACTCTTACCAATACTAACTTCTTTTCTATCAAACATTTATCGTCCCATGTATTTTCTTCTTATATTTGTATGTTACTGTCTAGTAACTCTTCTAATCTTTGGCGCTTGCAAAGTAAAAAACCAAAAAGTTGAATGAGTAAAAACAACCAACTTGTGTCCCGTGCACTCAGTAGAACGTTTGCAGTTTTGAGCACTGTAAAACTCTTTCCAAATAAACTAAAATTTTGAGCCCTTACATGACCTATTTGTGTTGTAAGAGCCGCAAAACTCTTACCAAGTGGGTGGTTGGCGGGTGCTCTAATGTGGTTTGCTTCTTCTTTCCTATCAAACATCTATCGTCCTTATCTCCCCTCCTTCTTTTTTATATTTGTTCCTCTCTTGTAACTCCTCTAATCTTCGGCACTTATATGACCTTATTGGGTTGCAGGTGCCGTAAAACTCTTACTAAAATTTAAAATGATTAACATGACCTATTTGTGTTGTAAGAGCCGTAAAACTCTTACCAATACTAAAAACTTATTTTTTCTCTGTGATCAGCTCCTGCAATGAGATCATCATCTTCCTGTTCCTGGGACTGTCTATGGTGAACGACACCCACGTCTGGCACACCGGCTTCACACTGTGGACCATATTCTTCTGCCTGGCCTTCCGATTCGTCAGTAAGTCGCTCGGATGCTTCTTCTTTCCTATCAAACATCCAAATATCGTCCTTATCTCCCCCTTCTTCTTTTTTATGTTTGTTACTCCCTTGTAACATCTCTAATCTTCTGGGTGGGTGGTTGGCGGGTGCTCTGGTGTGGTTTGCTTCTTTTTTTCTATCAAACATCTATTGTCCTTATCTCCCCCTTCTTCTTTTTTATGTTTGTTACCCTCTTGTAACACCGCTAATCTTCTGGTGCTCATATGACCTTATGCAATTGCGAGCGCCATAAAATCTCTACTTAGTAGGTGGTTGGTGGGTGATCTGGTGTGGTTTGCTTCTTCTTTCCTATGAAACGTCTATCGTCCTTATCTCCCCCTTCTATTTTTTTATGTTTGTTACTCTCTTGTAACACCTCTAATCATCTGGCGCTCATATGAACTTACGCAGTGGTGAGAGCGCCGTAAAACCTCTACTAAAACTAATAATAATAATAGATAGCATTTGTATAGCTCATATCCCCGCTCAGCAGCAGGCTCTATGCGCTTTACACTATATTACACTAGAAACTAAAAAAGCTCAGCTTTGGGTTCACTTTTTTTTTCTTCTTCAGGGTTTGTTCTGGATAGTTGCCGCTGTTCATTTTTTGAGGGCTTATTTAAAAAAAAAATGGTTTATTGCATTCTGGATAGTGGGTGGTAGGAAGGCGCCAATGGTAGGTCCTTCTTCTTTTTGTTCTTTCATTTGTGTCATGATGTGGTGGAATCAGGTGCTCGCCATTTTTTGGATATATGAGGTTATTGGTATAATCCTAAAACCTGTTCACTTGCCTTCCTTTTGGGGAAAAGTATCCGTCTATGTTGAATAGAAGTCGAAATATTTCCGATTGAAGGATATCAGGGTCTTCTACTTTCAGAGGTAAAATTAGTGAGAAAATGGCTGCCAAAGTTTGGTAACTTTCATAGCCTGAGAGTCCTTGGAAACTGAAAATTTATGTTTTTTGTGCCTTTAATCAACGTTTTTCTGTAAAATTTGCACCAAAATGTGTTTTGAAATTGACATGAAAGGTGTTGAGCCCAAAACATTTTTTAAAAAAAAAACTGTATAAGTAATTAATACAATTTTACATTACCAGAATTCAGTGTTTTCTTTTGTTTTTCTTTGGGGTGAGAGGAAAAAGGGGAGGGGAAGAGTCGTTTAGGTATTCAAAAGAGGTACTGCTTTTCTGGATGTGTCTGGAATTTGTCGTTGGTTGTGGGTGGTTGATGGGTGCTCTAGATTGGTTTGCTCCTTCTTTCCTATCAAACATCTGTCGCTCTTATCTCTCCTCCTTCTCTTTTTGTGTTTGTTACTCTTTTGTAACACCCCCCCAATCTTTGACACTTATAAGAAGACCAAATTGTGTTGCAAGTTTCATCAAACTCTTACGAAAACAAGTTGTTGGATGTGGATATTCAATCTTTCGTTTTTGACAGGTTTTATTTGGGTTTCGAAGTTGTGTGACATGTTTCAGAATTTCAAGATTTCTAAGTTTGTCTTATTATTCATACTCTAAATGTAATTTTCATCGGTACCAGACAAGATGAGAAGGAAAGGACAATGATTTATCGTTTAAGGTCTTATAAAGATGATTTCTAAATTGAGGTAGATTATGAAAGATACACTTCTGTTTTTGGTTGCCAAATAACTTTGTCATGATTTTTTCCCATTTTTTCAGTTATCTTTGCAATGTCTTCACTGATCAACTGGCTAGATGTTTATCGAGTTCGGAAAATTGGCTTTCAGGAGCAGTACATGATTGTGAGTTCATGAAAAATGCAGGTCTATTCACATTTCATTAATATGAATTCATTGAAAACCGCAGGTCTTTACATATTCCATTATTGTGAAATCATGAAAAATACCGATCTTTTTACATTACATTTTTGTGAATCGTGAAAAAAGCAGATCTGTTTACGTTACATTATTGTTAGTCATGAAAAATACAGATATCCGCCCTGGTTGGTCTTTGCAGGCAGGGTGGAAGCAGAGGGCATTCTAAATGATATGTCTTAAAACTTATATAAACTTATGTCGATGAAGACACAACACACCTACAACCGGTACTTGTTTATACCGGAACCTCCCGAAAACAACCGAAACCTGCCAAAACCACCCGAAACCACGCTAAAACCACCCAAAACCTCCCGAAACCCCCTCAAAATTTCAACAATATGATGTTTTTTGCTCTGCTATCTATCGCTCTGTGGATAAAATATTCTGTCGTTGGTTCTTGGTTCTTTTTATAAGAGAAAATGATGGTTTGTGAAATATTTTTTCAACTCCATTCTTTATTTTGTTTTAACTGATGAGCGACTGCTCAGGTTGCAATTAATAGCCTGTACTTCTTAGAATTTTAATTAGCGCTATAGTAGTATTCAAGTATAGATTTTCACATAATGTTATGATGCGTTTTTAATTTCTTTTATCTTGTGCATGTTGTGAAGTATTCTATGGAGAAGTGACCCCTAAAATATTTTTGGGTGAAATAATAAAAAACTTGGGTTATCACTTATTATATAATATATTTCCTGGATATTTCCTGGACAAAAGTCCAGAAACGTATGTAAGATTTTCTATACCCTAAAGTGGTGTTTGAAGGGATTTTAGAGCAGAGGGTAGAGAATTTTAAAAAGAAAATAATTGCCACTTTTTTTCTCAAAAGGCATGTTTGCACAGCTTATATGTTTCAGTTTTAGTAGGAAACGTTCATTCTATTTCTATTGCGTTAATATTATCAAGAAGTTGCCATGTTCGAGTTTAAAATATGTTTTTACGGTTTCTAATTGGAAAGAGAACTATTTTGGCCTTTTCTGACCTTTATCGGCCGTTTTCTTTAAATGCTATTTTCACACATTTTTATCCCATTTTCTTGCTGTATCTTATTTGATTTTAATGTAACTTTCACAAAATGTTAACGACTCCTATTTCTAGAAACTGTCTTGAGGAATTAAGTCCCGTAGAGTGAAAACTAAAGCATATACCACTAATTCCCCAAGACTATTTTTAGATATTATGTACTTTTCCTATGTACATGCCAAATAAAAAGTGTTTGAAATAAAAACAAACAAGTCAAACCAAGTGAAATATTGTCTCTTATATATAATGCTATTGTATTGTTTTTTAGTTTAAATAATTTTTTCAGGATCAAGAAGTATCCAAGTGGGTGGTTGGCGGGTGCTCTGGTGTGTTTTGCTCCTTCTTTCCTATCAAACATCTATCGTCCTTATCTCCCGCCTCCTTCTTTTTTGTGTTTGTTGCTCTCTTGTAACACCTCTAATCTTCGGCACTTGTTTGACCTTATCGGGTTGCAAGTGCAGTAAAACACTTACTAAAACAAAAGAAGAATCTAAAAACGATAATATTGTACAGTATTACAGATCAATATTTTTTCCACTGAGCGATAGATAGCATAGCAAAATAACATCATATCATAGAAATTTTGAGGAGGTTTCGGGTGGTTTTCGGGTGGTTATTGCGTGGTTTCGGGTGGTTTTGAGAGGTTTCGGTTGTTTTCGGGAGGTTCCGGTATAAACAAGTACCCCCTACAACGACAATTATTCGTTTCCTGTTCCCCAGGCCTACGGAGGTCTCCGCGGTGCCGTCTGCTTCTCCCTGGTGGCGCTGCTGGACCCGAAAGACATACCGGCCAAGAACATGTTTGTGACCACCACCCTGGCAGTCATCATCTTCACAGTCTTTGTACAGGTGATGGTGATAGCAACTGCCTTTATACAGCGCCTTTACTATAATTTTGTGTCATTTGCTCCTTCTTTTCTATCAAACATCTTTTGTCTTTATTTCTCCTTCTTTTCTTTGCATGTTACTTAGTCGCCTCACAACTATTTTGTCCAAAGTGTACTTAACACATTACACCCTGAGGGTCTGGACGGGAAGTCCATTGTTAGATCCTAAGCAAGGGGAAGGAAGCCACCTCCCGTGAATACAAGCTTTTAAAAAACACATTTAAAAAGTACTAAACAAATTCCCAAAAATCCTGAAAAAATAAGAGTTAAAAAGAAAAAAGAATGTAGTTTCAGAAAAATATAACTTTATGTTTGCGCAAACTGTTGCAAATGTTCTAACTTTAGTTCAGTCGGGGTGTCCGACCCGTCACTCTTACTCTCACTCTCAGCCTCGCGGTCGGGCCCTAGATGTAAATTCTAGATTTTCTACGTCTGGTCAATCGGAATCGCCCCAAACTCTTGCTACAATGTTTTCATAAAAATCTGAGTAATGTGATTTGTCATATTATGCTTGTTTTTGCTCAAGTACATCGTTATTTCCTTTTTCAAATTCAATTATATCGCTTTTCAACAAGTCGAGACACTTTTGAAGTGTCGGTAACGCGATCGCACTTCGTTCAGCTCTAATTCTAAAACTACTGGCCCGAAAATTTTGTTTCGGTATCAAACGAAAGAAGAAACTTTTTGCAATAACTATACAAATCAAAATCTCGGCCCCAGGGTCTCGTCAAGGCGAGACTTCGTATCTAAAGACGCTCGGTCGGCGCGGGCGGTTCTGGGCGAGTCAGGGTGGAGCGCGTAGGGGAATTCCCGGGTGGTTGCGGGCGAGTTAGGGTGTAACGTGTTAAGTAAAGAGGCGCTTTGGCTGAAATAGTTTTGAGGCGACAACTTGTGTAACACCTCTTATCTCTGGCACTTACAAGACCTATATATATGTTTTTGCATTGCAAGTGCCGTACAACTCTTACTCTCTTACCAAAGCTAAAAGTAAACCTACTTTCCCCCTCCA